CTTCCTTCCGCCGTCTCCGTCCTCCTCCTCCTCTTCCTCCTCCTCTTTTTCCCTACCTAGGCTCTGCCTAGAAGGGTTCTTACTCTCTTTGCTTAAAGGGCCGGGCAGTGCTAACCGGCCCGGCCGGTTCCCCCAGTCCCCGCCCCGCGGTTCCCCCAGTCCCCTGGGAGCTTTAGCCTTAGCTTTAGCTTTAGCTTTAGCTTAGCTTTAGCTTAGTTTTAGCTTAGTGTTAGCTTAGTGTTAGCTTAGCTTTAGCTTAGCTTTAGCTTAGCTTCAGCTTAGCTTTAGCTTAGCTTTAGCTTAGCTTTAGCTTTGCTTCAGCTTAGCGTTAACTTAATGTTAGCTTAGTGTTAGCTTAGCCTTAGCTGAGCTTTAGCTTAGCTTTAGCTTAGCTTTAGCTTAGCTTTAGCTTAACTTTAGCTTAGCTTCAGCTTAGTGTTAGCTTAGCTTTAGCTTTAGCTTTAGCTTAGCTTTAGCTTAGCTGCAGCTTAGTGTTAGCTTAGCTTCAGCTTAGTGTTAGCTTAACTTTAGCTCAGCTTTAGCTTTAGCTTTAGCTTAGCGTCAGCTTAGCTTTAGCTTAGCTTTAGCTTAGCTTTAGCTTAGCTTTAGCTTAGCTTTAGCTTAGCTTTAGCTTAGCTTCAGCTTAGATTTCGCTTAGCTTTAGCTTAGCTTTAGCTTAGCTTCAGCTTAGCTTTAGCTTAGCTTTAGCTTAGCCTTATCTTAGCTTTAGCTTAGCTTTCGCTTAGCTTCAGCTTAGCTTTAGCTTAGCCTTATCTTAGCCTTATCTTAGCTTTAGCTTAGCTTTCGCTTAGCTTCAGCTTAGCTTTAGCTTAGCTTTAGCTGAGCTTTAGCTTAGCTTTAGCTTATGTTTAGCTTTAGCTTTAGCTTAGCTTTAGCTTAGCTTTAGCTTAGCTTTGGCTTAGCTTCAGCTTAGCTTTAGCTTAGCTTTAGCTTAGTGTTAGCTTAGCCTCAATTTAGCTTTAGCTTAGCTTTAGCTTAGCTTTGGCTTAGCTTTAGCTTAGCATTAGCTTAGCTTTAGCTTACCTTTACTGTTACTACTAATGCTGCTTTCCTAGGGGCTCCAACTCCTAGGCAGGGTCACACTGGGATAAGTTTTCTCATCCTGTTTCCTCTCGTCCTACGCGTTGCATTTCTCATCATTTTCCTCTTCCGCCTCCTCCTTCTCCTCCTCCGCCTCCTCCACTTCCCCCCTCTCCTTCTCGTGTTCCTTCTCCTCCTCGGTCTTTGGCTTGCCCTCCGCCTCCTCCTCCTCCCCCCTCCTCATCGCCGCCCTGCTCGTTCTCCTCCTGCGCATTTCCTTCCTCCTGGCGCGCGCGTAAATTTTCCTCGGCGCCCTCGCCTCCACGCCTCGCAGGGGCGCTTTCTCTGACGGCGAAATCGCGCAGCCGTCGGGGGCAGCCCCGCGGGCCAGGCCGTCGAGGCAGCCCCGCGAGCCGCCGGCGCGCGAGACCATGCCGTTGGGGCAACCCCGCGGGCTCCGAGCGGGGCGCCGCCGCGCTCGAGCGGGGGGCAACGCGAAGCCCAGCTCTGCCGCGAGCTGTTCCGCCTCTGCCCTGGGGCTCTCCGTTCTGACGTCGAGCTCCAGGAGCGCCTGCCGCAGACCCTCGCTCCAGGAACTCTCGCGGCGGCGGCCAAAATATCAGCGTGTTCCGCATGTGCGTGGCCTGGGGGAACATGGCGTAGAGGTGCCGCCGCCGCTGCTCGTCCGACATACCCGTGCGACCAGTGTCCTCGCCCCTCGCGCAGTCGATGGTGACGCCCTTGCGCAGCGTCTGGCCCTGCGACCGCGTGGAGGTGAGGTGCGACGCGTGCGTCACGGTGCCCCCCGAGAGGCGCGCGGCTCTCGGCCCCGAGCTCTGACGCGTGAGCTCCTGCTCGCTGGGCCTGAACATGGGCAAACTCCTCGCCCGCGCCTCGGCCTCGCCGTCGTTGTCGGCGCCTTCGGCGCCTTGTAGCAGCACTTCGGCGACCTCTTTTAGATCGGGCTCCCTGAAGCCGCGCACCTGCAGCCAGATCCCCTGCGGTAGATAGCGGGGGCGGGAAGGCTGGCCCGGCGAGCGCTCCTCGTGCCGCTGCTCTTCTTCGGGGTGAAACTCGAAGGATTCGATGGTGGCCCACTGCTCCTGCACGAACCCCGACTTTTTTTTCTTCTGCTCTTCCTGCGCTGCCGTAAATCGCACCTCCACGCCGATGTGGGCCAGTTAGACGCCGTGGATGTCCTCCCCCGCCTTGTGCGTGTTCGGGGCGTTCAGGAGGCGCCGGTCCGCTCCGGGATCGCCCTGAATCGCGCGGCTCTCGTCCACGGCCTGCAGGAAAACGAGGGGCGCGCCCGGACGCCGCGCGTCGCGACGAGCGCGCGCGCGTTGATCCACCTCGCCAGCGTCTCCCAGTATATGCCCATGCCGTGGCCGAGCCGAGAGCTCTCGCGCTGGTGCCGAGGGCCCATGGCGCCGCGGTTGTCCGCGGCCAGCGCCGTTTCCCAGGCGGACCGGACCTCTGGCGAGAAGGGTTTGCCCTCGCGCATGCACCCCAAGAGCTCGATCAGAGGGCACAAGGGCTCGAAGCGCTTCGTGCCTTTCAGCGCGAAGACGCAGGGGATGTGAGAGAAGACCTTGATGGCGTGCTGAATATCCTCTGTCGGCGGCTCCGCGTACTCGTAGGACCCGCAATCGCGGACTTGCGGGCGCCCATCTCCATGTTCCACCCTCAAGCGTCTGTGCGCAGTGGCCTCTGCATCCTGCGAGGTGATCAGTCGCGCAGTGGCGGGCTGTGAGCCGCCACCATGCCAGAGGTTGTCGTCCAGCAAGGTGATCCCTGCGGCAAAGATGACAAGCGCCCCGACCCATGGTTCGACGCTGCTCCCAAGTATCAAGCTCGAGAACCTCCAGCTCACCTTCGACGACAGCTCGGGAAAGCGTTTGCCGCGCAGCTCGGAATCGCCGCCGGAGGGCCCGAAACGACCGCCAAGTGCGCCGTGGAGTCCGCCCGCTTACGATTCCTCGCCTCCATTGACACCATCGCCGCCGATGTCAATGCCAAGTGCCGAACCGAGGGAGACCTGCGAGACGCCAGAGCCAGAACGTCAGCCACAGAAGTGGCAGCCCGAGAACTACGTGAATCAGTCGACAGGCTCCAAAAGATCGCGGGCGACGCGGAGACCAGCAGCGGAAGTTTCGACGTGGCCAACATTGGGGCATGGGATCGAGCAGCTGACCCTTGCACACTTGGCGTGGATGCATCGGCATCGACGATCTCAAGATTGTGCCGAGATCGTGTCTCAAGGAGGCCCGAGCCCACAGCGACGAACCATCATTCAATACCTCGGGCCTCAGCAATGGTCGTAGGTTCTGCATCAATGGCGGCGCAGTGGTTGCAGAACCGTGCGCGCGACGCTTACACAGAGCATGACGTGATTTCACTATCTCTGCTGGTGGTGCTACTCTTCCTACGCCATGCGTGTCGGCCGACACCAGCCCGCTAACTATTCGCTGGGGTAACCTCACCAACCAGTGCCTCGACCGACACACCGTCCGATTGCACAGGGGCCAGGGCTACATCTCATGTAGGGGCGAGGTCTTGGTTCAACCGCGTGCGTGCAGCACTCCTAATGATCCGACTACCGCGCTTTGGACAGCCGCAGCAGCGCGTCTTGGCTTCGATGACCAACCGCAGAACACCATCCGCACTGCCTTTGATTCCAGCTTCTCCGACGCCCTGGCCTCCGCGCAGTGGTTCCCGCCCTCGTTCGACTCGCTGGCTGAGCAGCCCCCCCGGGATCGCCGTGACATTGCCTTCTGGAACGCGCGGGCTCCCAACGGAGTTTCGGAACCACGACGCCTGGAGATTCGCGGACTGCGCCGACCTCTGTCTGCCCCGCCAGCGAGCCCTGATCGCGCGACCGGAGACGCGTAGCGCGAGCATCGGCATGGACTTCCTCGCGCGCTCCGCGCAGCACAATCACCTGGCTTTCCAATCCAGCATCATGATTCCCACCTTGGATGGCGCCTTCGGCTTCCTCGACCCCGTCGTCGAGGTCGAACCAAGCCGCTCGCGCGAAGCGCGACTACTGCAGTCTTTCGCAGAGGTCGCTCCAGGGCAAGCAGCGCGGATCAGCATGACATCCTCAGCCGCGAGATGCCCCTGAGCGACAGAGAGATGAAACCGTGTCAACGGCGCCAACTACGTCGCCACGCCGCTGAAGTCCCTCTAAAGCGCACATTCATCACGACGGGCGATCCCAACATCTCCGAGCACGGCCCCACCAGCTTCAACGCGATGGTTGTCTCGAGCGCGTTCGAAGCTCAGCGTTGCCAATGCCTCTCGACCCTCTGGAGACAGCTCATCCAGGGAACGCGTGAGTTCTCGACCCTCTCCACCACGCATCGCATCATCGTCAACTTCGTCGAGGGCACGATTGACTTCTGCTTCGTCTATCTGCCGCAACTGCATCCCCAAGAAGGGCGCCGCGAACGACGCTGATGACGGCCCCATGGCCGGCGCTAATGCATCGACGAGCCATTGCAATATCATGCAATCTGGTATCCGCCCTACTCGCAGCAGGCCGCCCCGAGAGAACGTCGCGCCCTCCTCCGTCGTCGACTCGCTGCGCCGCGCGCGCAACTGCAAGTCCCTCGCCGAGACGCGCGACAGGACCCATCGCCCTGCTGCTCATCGGTGGCATCTCCAGAAGCTCCTGATGCACGAAGCCGCCCGCAGTGCCGGAGACGCGATGACCCTCGGCCACGCTGCCGAGTTCTCAGCGCAGCCGGGCAGCTTCGTCAAAGAGGTTCGTGGCATCACCCCCCGCAGCAACGTCAGGGCCATTTCGTGCCTGGACGCCTCCGTCGCGAAGAAATGACCGACGGCGCCGGCACCGGCCGCGGCCGCGCCACAATTGATGGTGCTCGTGTTTTACTGACAGATGCCAGCGCGTTCTCGACAAGAAACCGCAGCGGGCCCCCGCGCGCTGCTCCGCGCAGTCCCCGACAGCGACAGCATGTCCGACATCTTCGGCATGACCTTCTGGGCCAACATGAGGCGCTCAAGGGCGTCGCGCTGCTGCTTCCACCGCGCGCTGGGGATCCGCGCCCAAGGATATCGTGGGATGGTTCTACTTACTGGTGCTACTCGCAGCGCGGCTTGGCCTACATCCGCTTCTGCGTTGTCGCCGCCGATGGCCGCCTCGTCGCCGAGATCTTCGGGCGCGCGTGCCCCCCGCCCACCGCTTGGGGCGCGGCTGCCTGGCATCTGCGCTCCGCGACGCCTTGGGCCGCGACTCCGGGCGCGTCCACCGTCTGGGGGCGCTTCGCCGCCTCGCCTCCGCCGAGCTTAGTGCCCGCCGCCGCTGGGTGCGCAGACAGCGCGACCTCTGCGCAGCTGAGTCCGACTCGCGGCTCTTTCGCAGCGGCGACGACGAACATGGCGAAGACGCTGTACCAGACAAGCCAGACCTGTGTCTGATGCGTGAGCTCCTCGCGGACTTCTTCTAGCGTTGGATCCGCGTCCGCAGGTTCCTGGCGACCCTGTCACACGCGCGGACATGGGCTCTCTTCTATCCCCTTTGGGCGCATGGTCACGTGCACCCGCAAAAACTCCCGTGCGAATATAGATGTGACCGCCCAGATTCCATGCTGCCTGTCCTCCTGCGCCTGACGATGATCTACCTCCTCGCGTACCCTCTCGGCCAGCTGAGCGTGCACCTCCGCGGCAGCGCGGGCCTCCCCGTCCGCCTGTCACCCCACGTCGACGAGGACGGGATGGCCAGCCCGGCCATCCGCATAGGCTTCGCCTCCCACAGGTGCTACCTCATGAAGGACATCGCCATCACAGACACGAGCGCGCTCTACGCCGCCCCCGCAGCCGCCCGCCGTGCCTGCCGCCTCCCCGCTGGCCTACGCGGAGCTCCAGCACGCGTGCCGCAGCGTAGCTAGCCGAGCGGACTGACGTGGCCGCCAGCTATGTTCGCTCCTCCCGCCTCCTTCAGCCCCCTCGCCAATCGGGAGGAGGAGTAGGAGGAAACTAACGACCACGAACAGCTGGAACGCGATGTAGAAGAGGACGACGATGACGACGATGATGACGACGACGACAACGATGACGACGACGACGACGATTCGACGACGACAACGACGACGACGATAACGACGACGACGACGACGAAGGGCGGCGACAAGCGGCAGCAGCAACCGCTCCGGCAGGAGGCGCCAACGGCAAACTGGCCTGGTCGCCGGCGGCGGCCCCCGCGGAGGAGCCGCGGGGCGGCCGCTGCGCGGCGCGCGGCGTCGCCTCGGGTTCGGCTACACGTAAAAATGACCCTTCACCAGAGTGGTTAGTGCGGGCCCACAGGGGTCCCCATCCCCAGCATTGGCTGGGGCGTTTGGACTCGGACCCCGCCCCTAAAGCAGCGCGCCAAAGGTCACTCTTGCCGAGGGCCACCCTTGCGTGTAGCCGATGGGTGCCGGCATGGGTGCTCGTGGTCCGCTGTGTCCGCTGGGATTCCAGGAAAGACTTCCACGCCCTCCAGAGCTCTAGGCCTCCCAGGTGTGGTCCGAGCCGACGGGGTCGGAGGATCGCGCCGCATCGCCGATGTGTCGCCGATGCGTCTCGATGTGGAGCCCGATTTTTTCCACGCCGCGCCGATGGCGCCGACGCATCGCCGATGTCGCTGCGAGGCCTCTATGGCATGGGTGTGTCCGCTGGGGGTTCAGGAGAGGCTTCCGCGGCCTCCAGAGCATAGCGTCGACGCCGTCTCATCGTCGTCGACGACCACGGCGTCGTCGACGTCGTGGTCGCCGTCGTCGTGGTCGTCGTCGTCGTCGTCGTCGCTGGCGTCGGTGTCGTCGTGGCAGCCGGCGCCGCCGTGTGCGTCGACGTCGGCGTCGACGCCGTTGTGGTCGCATTCGAGGCCGGGGCGCCGTCGCCCTTCTGAGAAGCAAGAGGTCATGATACTTATACATTCCAAGACTGTCAGGACTTCCATAGCGTCTTGGATTCTCTGTACGCCCCGCACGCGCTCCAGCAGCTAGGGCCGCCAGATCTTCCAGAACTCATGGGATACATTTTTTGAACCAATTGGTAAGGCTTCGTGCTGCGCGCAGACAGCACCCCCAAGGGTAGTCCCGGCTGGCCCCGACAGGCCTTCCGAGTAATCCCAGCTGGCCTCAGCAGGCCCCCGAGCATCCCGGGGCGGTCTCAACACCCCCACCTCGGGGCGCAGAGCGCCCCGCCAAGGAAGGTGCGTTCTCGATACAGTCAAAAACCCTAATAATGACGCGCGGTAAGGACGCAAGACCCTTGGAAGCCGAAGTTCGGATTTTTTGGGCGGCGGACGACGAAAACCTCAAGGACGCAAGAGCAAGGAAGAGCAAGGACGCAAGGGTGCGCTGAGCAAAGTCGCACGTCCTTATTAGGGTTTTTGATTGTTTCGGGAGCATATCGCCACCGGTTCTGGCCCACCACGCCTCGGCGCGACACGCCATGTGGCGTGTCGCCGGGGCCGCCGCCGCGACACGCGGAGCAAAAGTTCCAGACCCTATGGCCGATTCCAGGTCGACGTCCCCCCCCCCCCCCTCCCCAGATCAGCCACGGGCAGATGGGGGAGGGCTCCTCAGAAGCACCCCTGCTTCTTCTAGGGCGCGGGCCTTATCTATAGATGTAGGACTGGCGCCTTCCACGAAGCAGCCTCCTTCTAAGAAGCCCTCCCCCTCCCTCCATCCCCTTGTGCGCGCCGCCATCTAGAGCCAGGGCCCCCCCCTCGCGCTCCCTTCAGAATCGCGGCCGCCGATGTTTTTTCGGTCGGCGCCACAGGACGGAGGATCGGTCTCCAGGTTTGGGGGGCGTCTGGTTACGAACAAAGGCATGACGTCAGATGTCATCGTCGTCGTCGCGTAGTCGTCGTCGTCGTCGCCGTCGTCGTCGTCGTCGCGGTTCATGGTCGTCGTCGTCGTGGTTGCCTGCGTGCCGTTCGAGGCGGCCGCCGTGGCCCGCACAGAGAGTCGAGGAGCGTCAGCTCGCGGAGCTCGGCTGTGAGGTTGCGCGGGGTGCCGTTGGTGGGTCTGCCGTCACGGCGAGCTCGCCACACGCGCTCACACTCAGCACCGACTCCGCCACCAAAAAATACACATTTATCAGGAGGGGAAGAAACACACAGACAAAATTAATCGTCGATTCCCCAGAAAATATGGGAAACTATGGTCAGTGGGGGGGAAGACAGAAACCCAGAAAATATATGAACATATTGGGAATCTGTTGATTTGTGTGTCCCAGGGCCCCTTCAATTTACACCCTCCAAATGGATTATCCCTGGGCCTCATGGGGGGGTTCAATACAACCACGACGCGCCAGCGATTGTATCAGCTGCCTGCGGGGCAAGTCCCGTAACCGTGCCAGCCCAGCATGTTAGGTGGCGACTGTTCGAGGGGGCACGGGAGGGCGTCATGCGTGACACCTCGTGTCTGCAGGCTTGGGAGAGCCGTGATGATGATGATGATGATGATGATGATGATGATGATGATGATGATGATGATGATGATGATGATGATGATAATGATGATGATGATGATGATTGATGATGGTGGTGATGATGATGATGATGATGATGATGATGATGATGATGAGGTTCATGGGGATGTGAACGATGACGACATTACTACTGATGATGAAGAGGAGGAGGAGGAGGGAGGAGGAGGATGAGGATGAGGATGAGGATGAGGATGGGGATAAGGATGGTGGTGATGATAACGATGATGACGATAGTGGTGATGATTTTGATGATGATGATGATTCTGACGATGAGGGTGGTGGTGATGATACTCATGGTATTGATAATGATGCTGATAAGGATGGTGATGGTGATGGTGATTATGATGATGATGACGATGATGATGATGATGATGATGATGATGATGATGATGATGCGGATGCTGATGATGATGATGATGATGGTGGTGATCATGGCGATGACGATGATGATGCTGATGCTGCTGACGGGAATGGTGATGATGGTGATGATGAGGGTGACTATGGTGCTGGTGTTGACGATGCTGTTGACGATGATAACTATGCTGACGATGAACATGCTGAGTATACTGGTGATGCTGCTGCTGATGATGATATTGATGATGAGATTGATGCTGATGATCATGACGACGAACATTGACATATAGGAGAAGATGCTGCTGCTGAGGATGATGGTGACGATGATGCTGCTGCTGCTGATTATGATGATGCTGCTGCTGATGCTGCTGATGATATTGATGATGATGATGATGTTGATGATGATGATGATGATGATGATGATGATGATGATGATGATGATGATGATGATGATGATGAGGATGATGATGATGATGATGATGATGATGATGATGATGATGCTGGTGACGATGCTGATGATGGTGATGATTGTTTAACTCGTTTGGGCCATCTTGGTGCTGTCTTGGCCTCCTGTGAAGCAGTCTTGGGGGTCCATGGGGCCTCTTACGCTCTGGCACCAGCTTGGGGTTCTCTTGGGTCGTCTTGGGGCCCGCTTGGCCGTACGGTGGGTGTCTGGGGGCGGTCGTGGGGCCGTCTTGGCGCCGTTTTGGGTCGTCCCAGGGCCTTCTAAGGCCGTCTTGGGTCCCACGGGAGGCCCTCTTGGGCCGTCTTGCGGCCGTCATGGGCCATCCCGGAGTCCTCGTGTGACGTCTTGAGCTGACGGCAGCCCGGAAAGGTGAGAATGCAGCAATCAGTTAAGCACCTAAGGGAAGTCAATGTTTTTGGCTTCTTCGGACCCTGTTGGAGGTCCTCTTGTGGCCCTTTGGGGCTCCCTTAGAGGCATCTTGTGCAGTCTGAAAACCATATTTCGTCGCCTCGGGGCTATCTTGGACCGTCTGCGAGGCATCTTAGGCCATCTTGGTGTCCTTGGTTGCCTGCACGGGCCGTCTTGTAAGCCTGGGGAACAATATCCATCGTTTGAAAAAAGGGATTGTGGTTTGGGAGGCCCTGGAGCGCTTGGAAGCAGCGCTTGGGAATGCCTGAAGTGCATAATCCTCGAGCGGATGCGCGTGGGATGAGGGGTCTAGGAGGTAGAAACCATGCGGGAAGTGCGCAATCCTCGAGCGGGCGCGCATGGAACGAGGGTTCAGGCGTTAGCTGCCATGCGGCAAGCGCACCGTCCTCGAGCGGGCGCGAGGGAAGTGGCCTCGGAAAGGAGAGGCGGTGCACGCAAGAGTCTGCGAGTAGGGAGGAGCAGGGTCCCGCATCAGAACCCCAAAGAACCCTGCCGGACAGACCTTGGCATTCCTCCATGCCTCCACGTTCCAGGGGGTATGGTGGCAGATAATACACTACCATTCGCCTATTAAGGCACAGGAGAAGCTCGTCAGCGGGTATTCCTCCTCCTCCTCCTCCTCCTCCTCCACTAGCGGGCCGACGGCCGTCGCCTCCCCGACCCCCCGCCCCCCCCGGCGGACGTCCGCGTGCTCCGCTCCAGTGCGCTCCAGGCGAATTCGCCGACGCCGACACCATCTGCGACGCGCTTTCCCTTGTTACGGACTTGGCGAGGGTGGTGGTGCCGATCTTCTCTGCTCCTACCTGCCTGGCGCGCGAAGTGCGCCGGGGGCGGCGACGAAGGCGCCGACCATAGGTGCGGGGAGGGGGTTTGGCGCCGCTGCAGAAACCGTCCGCGGTCGCCCGCAGTCAGCTCTCTCTCGTGCCGTTCTGGCCTCCCGGTGCCTCCCTCCTTCGGCCGCCACCCCGCCCTCCTCCTGTGCAGCCGACTCGTCGTCCGTCCCTTCGTCTCTCCCTTGCCTTCGCGGTGTTCGCGACTGCCTCGACGACGACGACGGCGATGACGACGACCCCGCAGGACGTGCTGGAGGAGAGCCCGCCGCGTGCCTGGCAGGAGGCGCCACGGCATGCTGCTCTCCCCGTCGTCCTCGGCTGCGCCGTCGTCGCCGTCGTCGTCGTCGTCGTCGTCGTCGTCGTCGTCGTCGTCGTCGCTGTCGGCGTCGTTGTCGTCGTCTTCCTCCTCATCGTCCTCTGCATCCCCTGCCTCCGCCGCCTCGTTCTCACCCGTCTCCTTCCCCTGCTGCTGTCTATCGTCGTGTCGTTCCTCCCTGCCCTTCTCCTCATTCCCGCCTGCTGCCCCTTGCGATTCATGCCATCTTGTACCTAGATGGGTGCAGTCATGTTTTGCGCCGAGGCTTCCGAATTCCTAACCTTCTCTCGCAGGTAGGATGGACATGGGGTCCATACGACATGCCCGGGCCGGATCGGGTGACGGGTCGCGGACTGCACCCCAAGGGCTTCAGAACCATCGCCTGACTCCGCTGGGCTGGCCTGTGCTGCCGCACACCCGGCCGCCCAACGCAATGCCTCCTGCCACCAGGCAAATCCCCCGCCTCACTAGGAAATGAGGACCAGGGGCCCTAGTACCACCCACCACGCCGTAGGCGCCCGAACCATCCCGGTGCAGCGTGCCGATCGAGGGAGTGCCCGCGCGCAGCGCCTCGCTTTGGCCAGGCCACAGCCTCCTCACGATCGTGAAGCCACACTCCACTGTGAGTAGTGCGGCGTTGCAGCAACGTGCTTCCAGCCTCGCACTCACGCACCGAGCAGCATTCAGGAACAGCCCAGGCCCCTTGTCGACAGGCTTCAAGGAACACAGTCCGCGCGGAACGAACCTTCAACAGGCCCTCCGCACGCCTGCTCTACCCGAGACCACGCTCCAGGAACGCATCCCGGCGCGACTTGCGGCTCACCGCCAGCGCACCAGCGCCAGCCGCCCCTTTCATTCCTCACTTCGTGCCCTGCGAGAGCACCTGGCAACACGTTCCGTAGACCTGGCACCCGGCCGCCGAGGGGGATGCCCCAAGGCGGCGCCCTGCTTTCGCAGGGCGCCGCTGCGTACACGACAGAGCGCGCTTCAGTCGCTTCACGCGGGGGCGCAGGGGGGGCAAGTCCCGCCCTTTATCACCACATCCCGTCTCTGCTTTCCGGTCGGGGGTCCCTTTTCGACCGTGCTAGGTGGGGATGCAATGGCGCCCTCGACGGCGCGAAGTTATTCGCGCTTCGCGTTTCGGCTCCGATTCCTCCGCATCCTCCTCTTCTCCCCTGGGAGGCGGCGCGAGAGCGCGAAGTTGTTCGCACTTCGCGCTTCGCGCAGCGCGAAGCGCGAAGTTGGGAGCCATTGGGATGATTCGTTTTCGTCGCCCCTGCCGTTCCTGTGCGGCCCTTCCCGCCCTGCGGGCCGAGGGAGACTGCACCCCTCGCCCGCGGATCAGACCTGGTGCTGGTGCGCTCTCCTCCCCACCCTCCCTCTCCCCCCCCTCCTCCCTCCCTCTCCCCTCCTCCCCCCTTCCCCTCCCTCCTCCCCCCTCCTCTCCCCCCTCCACCTCCCTCCCCTTCGCAATTACTCAATATGAATACTACTCTCCTCTTTCCCCTGATGACGGGTTGGGAGTGTTCGCCCCCCCCCCCCCCCCCCCCCCCCCCGCGTACTGTTTTTTTTACACAGGATTCCCCGGAGTTGGGTTTTCGCTTGCATTTTTTTTCAAAATGCTGCTCTCGCTGAGGCGCCGGCCTCATTTTCGGGCCCCGCTCGTTCCGAATCGTGCTCCCGCTGCAGCGCTGGCCTCATTTCCGTGCTTCCGCTCGTTCCGAATCGTGCTCCCGCTGCAGCGCTGGCCTCATTTCCGCGCTTCCGCTCGTTCGAATCGTGCTCCCGCTGCAGCGCTGGCGTCATTTCCCGTGCCATGCCACGGCATGCAATGCAATGCTAGGTTGCGTTCCGCTGCGCGATGCCATGCCTTCAGCTGAAGCTGTGATATGCAGTGGTTAAGTGCCACGTCGTGCCATGCCATGCTACGCTTTGATCTTCAACGCCATGCTCTGCAATCTTATATTCGGGGCCGCTGTGCGATGCCATGCTTTGCGTCGCAAAGCTTTGTGATACAATTCTTCACTACGCCACGCCACGCCATGCTGTGACATACTACGCTTTGCGGTGCTATTCTACGCCATGCCATGCCGTGCTCTACAATGCATCGCGTACGCTTTCGGGATCATTGCCCTGCTCGACATCCGACTGTGCGAGTAGAGAGGGGATCTACGCCATGGTAAGGGATGGGAGGGAGGGGTAGGATGTCAGATATGACGCGAGCGCACCTAGCTTGCCTCCTCTCCCCTCCCCCCTCCTCCCCCTCCCTCTCCCCTTCCCTTCCCTCCCCTCCCTTTTCCCTCCTCCCCCCTTACCTCCCCTCCTCCCCCCTCCCCTCCCCTCCTCCCCCCTCCCTCCCCTCCTCCCCCCTTCCTCGCCTCCCTCCCCTCCCATCCCCTCCCTCGCCCCAGGCGCAGGACGCGGACGGCGGCCTGGCGGCCGTGTCCGGGTGGGCCTCCGGGCAGCAGCCGCCAGGCCCAGCGAGGGAGAGCCAACCGCCTCCCTCCCTCCTCTCCGTCCCTCCTCTCCCTCTCTCCTCCTGCTCCTCCTCCTCCTTTTCCTCCTCCTCCTCCTCCTCCTCCTCCTCCTCTTCTACTCATCTACTCATCCTCCTTCTGCTCCTCCTCCTTCTGTTCTGCCTGGTCTGTCTCCTCCTCCTCCTCCTCCTCCTCTTCTCCGTCTCCTTCTCCCCTCTGCCTCGTCATCATTACTACCGTCATCATCACTGTCATCATCAGCATCACAGACACCATTATGGTACACTCCTCGTCATCACCATCACCATCGTCATCATTATGTTCCTCACCATCATCATCACCATCATCATAAGTCTCCTCATCCTCCTCCTCCTCCTCATCATCATCATCATCACCTCCCCTCCCCTCCCATCCTCCATCCTCTTGTTCTCCAAACTTCCCCCCTCCCCCAGCCCACAACTTCCAGCATCTGGGGTGCGCGTCTGGGCTCTGGGACTGTCAACAAAACGGCTCAGGAGGATGAGATCTGGCCTCCATGAATGGGGGCCACGTGGTCGAACAGCCACGACGGCGGAGGTCTGGGCATGGTAGTTCTACTCGTAGCAGGATTGTGACGTTAGACGCTGGCTGTTGCCACTGTGGGGTCTCCGGAGGCCTCCAGAGACATGCGTGGGCCCCGCTCTATATAGCGGCCCTCCTGCTGCCGTGCATGTGCACCGGCCTTCTGTGGCGAGCCCGACGCTCGGAAAATCCGGTTGTGGGCTCCGCGAGGGTGCGCCTGCGCGCGCGCGCGGCGTTGCTTCCGCTCCGCCCCCTGTCGTGCAACCCTTCTCCTCCCTCCCAAGCCCCGAACCCCAAGCCCCAAGCCCCGAACCCTAAAGCCCGGAACCCTACAGCCCTGAACCCTACGCCCTAATCCCTAAGCCCCCAACGCTATGCCCTAATCCCTGAGCCCCGAACCCTAAGCCCTAAATTCTTAATCCTATAATTATTAAACCCAGAGTAACCTAAAAGCGGCCCGTATGCAACCCCGCTCCATCTACTGCAAGAAATAGCATATCCTGCACATGCGTGCACAATCCCTATTTTTTACAGCACAAAGTGCCCAGTCCCCGTCGCGACCCGGCCCCATCTACTGCAAAAAATAGCATTTCCTGCGCATGAGTGCAGAATCTCTTATTTTTTACAGCACAAAGTGCGCCCCTCTTATGTAAACCCGCTCCATCTACTGCAAAAAATAGCACTTCTTGCGCACGCGTGCAGAATCTCGTGTATTTTACAATACAAAGTGCCTTCCGTTGCGACCCGATCTACCGATTCCACCGACTAGCGTTTCCTGCGCATGCGTGCAGAACCTCTTCCGCCCGACCCGACTCGTCACGCCCGTTCCAGCGCTCGCGTACCAACTGAATCGCACATCCGTCGTCGCCGTCGTCGTCGTCGTCGTCGTCGTCGTCGACGCTGTATTCGCTGCGGTTCTCACGAGGGGAGAGATGATCTTTATGGTTGGGTGGCGTGCGGGTGGGAGTGACGGCCACCGCGGGTGGGTTCGCGGTCACGGTGTACTCGTGGCCACGCCTAGTAGATCTCTAATCTCTATTATTAATAAACCCAAAATCCTTCAAAACCGGCCACTATGCATCCCCCCTCCATCCTGTGCAAAAAATATCATTTCCTGATCATGCGCTCTGAAAACGATGTTTTTTACAATGGGTCGTGACCGGGTCTATCCGCGAACCGGGCTGATCCCTGTCAAAAAACACTATATCCTGATCATGCGCATCGAATTTATCAGAAATCCATATTTTTTACAATACATTGTGCCCAACCCGGTTCGCGGGCCGGGAAGTGTACCGGAGTTTTGTGTTGTAAAAAATGCTATAACCTTAACATCCTGCTCTTGCAGAATGTGTGCATGGTACTATTCTATTGCAACAAATAAGACAAAGTGCGCAAGCGCGCGTCGGCCGCGCGATCATGGCCAACTCCTTTGGACATTTCAATGTTTTTTCAGCACTGGTGTTATGCGACAGCCACGCTAGAGGCTGCGGTTATCCAGATGTTGTGGAACTCGCCTTTGTGCTAATCTATGTTATGCTGGCATAGCATACGAGAGGCGTGGCATAGCTACGTTGAGGCGGGCATAGAACCCTACGTTGAGGTCGGGCGAACCCTAGAGTGCGCCCGACCCGACCCGACCCGCTTGTTAGGGTTCACGCGTGTCAAGTGTACACGCACCATACTTTAATGTCCCGCCCGCCCGACCCGACCCGCCCTTCAGGGTCCGCCCGACCCGACCCGACCCGCCCGTTAGGGTCCGCCCGCCCGACTGCTTCGCTTTGCTATGCTCTGCTATGCTACACTATAGGTTTCCCACTTTGTGGGGAACCTCTGCTTTGCCATGCTCTGCTATGTTGTGCTATGCTATGCAATGCCATGCTACACTATATGTGTTTTGGGGGAACCTATGCTTTGCCATGCTTTGCTAAGCAATGCTATACCATGCTATGCTATGCTACAGCCACGCTATGACATGATAGAAGATATGATCTTTATGGGGGGGTGGAGATGCGGGGGGGAATGATGGCGACCGCAGGTGGGTTCCGTTGAAGGTTGTAATCGTGGCCTTGCCCTGTTAGACCCTAAACCCTGAACCCTAAAGCCCGGTGATCCGCCCAAGGGGGTCCGTCTCCAGTGCGGAGCGCTGCTCCCGTGTAGGGCCCCCCCCCGTCCTGCTGCGGGGGGCAGACACGGGCAGCAGCTCATCAGCGATTGGGGGTCCGAAGGGCTGCTGCCGACAGGCTGGCTGTGGCAGCCTCTCGCGGTGCACGCTGGGAGAGCGCCGTGTTAGTGGTGTATCCCCAACTGGGGTGGTATTTTGGTGGGGGTCTCGAAGGGGATGGGGATAGGGGATGGGGATCGGTTAACCGATACCGAGGGGTGGGCGCGTGGGGTCTCGAGGCCGGCGCATACACTTGTGCCGATCAGGGAGAATCGGTGGCGCGCCCGGGGGGGAGTGAGAGGGTGCAGGCCATCTCAGAAGATGGCGGGGCTTCTCAGAGAAGCCCTACGGGCCTTTGGAGAAGCTTTCTGCCTCTTCGGGGAAGGCTCGCAAAAGTTCTCAGAAGGCCCGCGGCCTCCCGAGCCTTCTGAGAAGGCCCACCCCTTCTCACTTCCCCAAGAAGCTTCCCCTCCTCGACCTGGTCCAGCGCTTCTTCAGCAGCTTCCAGCAAGCTGACCCAGATTCAGAGCCACCTGCGAGTGCTCTTGGCTGTACGCGCGTACGCGCGAGGCTGGCCCAGCGCTCGCCCAGGCTTCTCAGGACTGGCTTGTTCTTACTCACCGCCCACATTGGCCGCACTACGCACGGCCGAGATGACGTCACCAGGGGCGCAGGCAAATGGGCCAAGCGCCCGAGATCGCCTGTTGGCGTCTGGGCATCCAACACTTTGCCACAGTCAGTCTCACTACCCGTGCTCTGTACACCCCTGACCTCTCGTGCGTGTGTTCTGGCAACAAATCGAGGCGAACTTCGAAATGCTGCGCTGGGCTCCCAGGGAGATGGAGGCGGAAGGCGTGGTGGGAACTAAGGAAAGCATCACAGAATCAAGCGTGACGCATAATCTGGGGCCTGCACCAGCTTGCCTTCTTTCGTTGATGTCTCTGAAGGCTTCCGTAGCAGACGCAGTCGGCCAAGGGGTCGTTCACTCAACAAATCGAGGCGAATCAAGCCGTCGCGACAAGGGATCCCCTGGAGGCACACGGGTCAGATCAGGTCGAGCCGTCGCGACGGCAGCCCCGAGGGGGGTAACGAGGCATCAGGAGACGTTGAACCCCCCTATCACCCTAGAAGCATACAGCCAAGACGCTGAAATAAGGAACAGTTTGGATCTGGAAGGGGCTCGATGTTCCTTACGTCCTTCCGTGGTTGTTCTTCTAGCCCTTCTCGTGCACCCAGGCTTTTCTTGAAGCCACAGGGAGGCTTCGTTCCTTATTTAGCGTTCCTTATTTCAGCAGCCCGACTGTAGAAGCATAGCGAGACAGCTTTCTTGCGTGGTCTGGGCGGCATCCCTCTAGACCGAAGTATCATAATATGGATCTGATCAGCGGCGCATAATCCCGTCGGCCAAACATAGGATGCCCGTAAATCCTGAGGCCATGCGAATCCCACCAATTGATTGCATCTTGGCATTGTCTTGGGGTCATCTTGAAATCATTTCCGGGGCATATTGGGGTCATGGAGCTGCATTCTGGCTGCTTTGGCCACCTTGGGGGCGCCTGGGGGCCATCGCGTGGTCATGGGAACCTATTACGGCCAACCGTTGCGCATAGACATGGCCACAGTGGGGTTGCCCTGCAGCCATCTAGCAGGCGCGTCGAGATTATGTGCGGATCATGGTGATGGCTCTGTCGAGTCGCCCTGAGGCCATTTTGCAGTCGTGCTGGGGTCATGCAGCCGCAATGGCATCGTTTGGGGTCGTCTGGAGGTCTTGCGCGGTTCCGAGGAAACTGTTGATGTGGCCAAGCAGGGCACGAGGGGAAACAAGAGCACCAGTGCAGTGCTCAAACAAGACGGAGCAAGCAGGGAGGGATGGAGTTGGGAGGGAACGAGTAGTTACATACACAGGGCCCCATCATGCGCAACGGTATCGTCAAGTTCCACAAAATACGTTGGATCACGAAACCAGTCAGGAATTGACGTCATAGATTCTTCTGGAATCTCTGTCATAAGCTGCTGTGCCATAGCATGGCACTCCTTTCCAGGTGATGCTGAGCTGTGAGATGTGCAGTGCTGCGCCGTGTCGGGCGGTCTCGGTGATTGTCTGGAGATTTCGTCAAGATGCTCACTGTTGTCATCATCGCCATCGGAGCTCTCTACAACGCGTGCCAAATACATGTGGAGTACCACTCCAGTCAGACAAGCATACTTGAATGCTTGTGCCACATGCATGCCGAATATCTTCAGCCCTTCGCCCGTTGTCTTCGCCCCCCGTGTCCCAGGCATCGATGAATCCCTCGTCGTCATCCTCGTTGTCGTCCTCCTATTCTCTATGCTCCTCCACTTCCTGGCCGCCCGATGGGCCTCCCCTCTTTGAGTCTGCCCTCTCGGATCTCTTGGGGCCACATTGGGCTTGTCTTGGGCCCACTCAAGCCAGTGTCTGGGCCTTATTTTTCCAAACCATCCTGTGGTGTTGGGTCCTCGTTTTGAAGAGTCAGCGCCCCGCGTCGTTCCTCCCCCTCCTCCTCGCCCTCCTCCCTGCTCCTATCCCTGCCTCTGCCCTCCGCATGTTTCTGTTTCGGCACACCCCTCGCACGGCTCGTGGCCCTGAGGGAGATCCACCTGAGGCCCCAGTGGCGACGTTCCCATGCGTCCGCGACGCACAGTTCGGCACACCCCTCACACGGCTCGTGGCCCCATAGGCAGCTCCACCGAAGGCCCCAGTGGCGACGTTCCGATGCGTCCGCGCCGCACACTTCGGCTCACCCCTCACACGGTTCCCCCAGAAGGAGCTCCACCTAAGGCCCCATTTTGGATGTTCCCACGCGTCCGCGCTGCATATTTGTGTACACCCCTTACACGGTTTGTGGCCCCACAGGAAGCTCCACATAAGGCCCTGGTGGCGTCACTGCCATGTGTCCGCGCCGCACATTTCGGCTCAAGCCTCACACGGTTCGTGGCCCCAGAGGGAGCTCAACCTAAGGCCCAATGCCGAGGTTCTCACGCGTCCGCGCTGAATATTTGTGTACACCCCCTCACACGGTTCGTGGCCCCACGGAGCTCCACATAACGCCCCATTGGAAACGTTTCCATGCGTCCGCGCCGCACATTTCGGCGCATCCCTCACACAGTTCGTGGCCCCATAGGGAACTCCGCTGAAGGCCCCAGTGGCGACGTTCCCACTTCGTCCGCGAGGCACATTTTTGCACACCCCTCACACGGCTCGTGGCCCTTGGGGGAGCTTCACCTAAGGCCCCAGTGGCGACGTTCCCATGCGTCCATGTCGCACACTTCTGCACAGCCCTCACACGGTTCGTCTCCCCTGAGGGAGCTCCACCGAAGGCCCCAGTGGCACCGTTCGCATGCTTCCACGCCGCACATTTTTGGTCAGTCCTCACACGGTTCGTGGCACCACAGGGAGCTCCACCAAAGGCCCTAAAGAGGCACCGTTTGCATGCGCACGCGTCGCGCATTTCGGCTTGGGGCCATCGTAATCTGAACGGGATCGTGGCCCTGGGGGCACGCATCCAGTGTAGTTACGACAAGATCGCGGATGTCGGAGCGCGGGTCCACAAAACATGCAAAAATGGTTGTGGCCCTTGGGGCGGGGGCCCAGTACGATTCACTAGGAATCGGGGCCCAGGGAGCTAGTTTCCAGTGTAATCTACAAGGGCTCGTGGCCGTGGGAGCGCAGATCCAGCGCAATTGTTCGAGGCATCCCTCCGTCGCTCGGAGTGCGGACGCAGTGCAAGTTATCAGAGATCGTGGCCAGATCGTGGCCGCCGCAGTCGTCGTCGTCGTCGTCGTCGTCGTCGTCGTCGTCGTCGTCGTCGTCGTCGTCGTCGTCGTCGTCGTCGTCGTCGTCGTCGTCGTCGTCGTCGTCCGTCGTTCCGTCGTCGCCCGACCGGCCGGCAGCAGGCCCCGACGCCGCCGCGGAGGGCGCGACGCCCGCCGGCGGCGCCGAGGGCACCCAGCCGCCGGGGGCGAGCTGGCCCCGGCCCGCCGACCGGGAGCCCCCGCAGGAGCCCCCCCCGCGCGGGGGGCGTGCGCGCGGGGCCGCCGCTGCAGGCCGCCCAGGGCTGGGGACGCCAGAGGCCTGCTCGGAGGCTGGCGCTCCTCCTCCTCCTCCTCCTCCTCCTCCTCCTCCTGCTCCTGCTCCTCCTCCTCCTCCTCCTCCTCCTCCTCCTCCTCCTCCTCCTCCTCCTCCTCCTCGGGGGGCCAGACTGCACGGCGATGTCAGCATCGGAGGGCCGCGGCCCTTCCCGCCATCCCCTCGCGAGGGACGCGCCGGGCCGGCGCGATGGCGGCGGTCCGCTCGTTCGCTCGCTCGCTCCTCTCTCTCGGGGGGCATCTGTCGGGCGGGGCCCCTCCCTCCGCCTCCGCGGCCGCCCTCTGCCTCTCCCGCCCTCCCCGTGGCGCGCCCCGTGCGCGGCGCGGCCCGCCGGCTCCGCTCGGGCGCGCCCGCGACCGCTGGCGCTGCCTGGCGCTGCCGAGCGCAGAAGTTCAGGAGAGAAACAAACACACAGACACGATGAATCGTCGATGCCCCGAAAATATGGGGAACTGTGGGAGGTGGGGGGGGAAGACAAAAGCCCAGAGAATGTGGGAAAATCTGGGGAATCCTGCTGTTTGTGTGTAGTTGTTTGTGTGTCCCAGGGGCCCCTTCAAAAGTTCCAGGCGGGGCTGCAGGTGCAGGCCGGACTGTTCCCGAGCGCTCCCGATCGCTCGTATATAGAGCTGGAGCGGCCGCGGCGCCCAGGGCGTCCTCTCCAGAGCCGCAGGATCTCAGAGATCCCCGATCTTTCCCAACCCTCCCATGGTTGGGTACTCATTTTGAATAGAGCAGTGTGGTCGCCCCGTCCTTCTCCTCCTCCCCCCTCCTCCCCTCCTCCTCTCCTGTTTCCTGTGTTCCCCTCTCCTCTTCTCTCGTGCCGTCGGGCTGCGATGTTGCTTGCCTGGTCGGAGTCTGCCCCCGTCCTGGTCTCGCCCTGCCGTGGAGACCTCCTGGGGCCTCCAGGGACCCTTGGGGACAGGCCGCCCAGCGGTGCCAGAGCACCCAGGCCGGGCCGAGGCATCGCGTCGCCTCTCCGGTGCGTTGGCGATTTGGATCGACGCGAGGCCTGGTTTCCCCCCTCCCGACGTCAGCGATGCATCGCCGACGCGTCGCCGATGCGGCGCCAGCCCCCGACGCCCATCTGCTCGGACCCCATGTGGGCGGCTTGCACCGCCGCCGAGGCGGCGGCGGCAGGAGGATCGAGGGAGGAGGATGACGATCGAGTGAGAACTTGATGATCGAGGGATGAGGCGGAGGAGGATCGAGGGAGGAGGATGATGATCGAGGGAGGATGATGATCGAGGGGGGAGGAGGGAGGAGGAAGGTGGGGGTTCGAAGGTCTCTTGGCGTTTTTGGGGCTCCTCGTCGCCACGGCTGGATTCGCATCGAAGCTCTGGTCGGGGCGCACCCCGGGAGAGGTCCGGAGGGCCGACTCTGAGGGGGAGAGAGGCCCAGACGTCCAGCGGCTCGAGAAACATCGAGACGGCGAGTGGCCAGTCTGGAACGCCAGCCCTGGGGAAGGGGTGTGGAGAGGTCTGGGGGGCCTCCGTCTCGAAAAAGCCGAGCCGTCAGATGCCTGCGTCGACGGCCGGCGACGGGGGCGACGACTGGCCTTTTCACATCTGAGTATGATGGACTGGTTATTGGTTGGGGCTTTGCCTGGTGGGGGCCCGTGGGCGCCTCGTGGGCGATCCGCGCGTGGTGGCCAGAGGGGGTGGAGGAGGAGGAGGAGGAGGGGGAGGGAGGAGGAGGAGGGGGGGAGGGGGAGGAGGAGGGGGACTGGAGGAGGAGGAGAAGGAGAGGAGGAGGAGGAGGAGGAGGAGGAGGAGGAGGAGGGGGAGGGGGTGGAGGAGGGGGAGGGGGAGGGGGGAGGGAGGAGGAGGAGGAGGAGGAGGAGGAGGAGGAGGAGGAGGAGGAGGAGGAGGAGGAGGAGGAGGAGGAGGAGGAGGAGGCGGCAAGGTGCGGAGGAGGAGGAGGAGGAGGAGGAGGAGGAGAAGATCCGCAGCCATTTTGGCTCAAGTTTCTGCCCATCGAGCTTTGGGTGCACAGGGCACCAAGAGCAACGGCGAAGCGCGGTGCCATCCTCCTAACCTTGGCACACGCGCGCCAGGATCCAACCGATCCCAGATCAAGACCTTGTTTCTACATGGTTACATCTCTCCCGCCTCTCGCAGCACATTGTTCAGACATGCCTTCTCGCCATCTTGTTTCTCCTGGTATGGGTGCCATTCATTTGCACGCATATTCCCTGACAACATAAAGCAAGAGTTAGACCCAGAGAACAAAAATAACATCCTGGCGAAGGACCCACGAAGATGCAATTGTGAGTATTGTCGTTGCGGGTATCGCCATGGGGGTTCTCCTCATGGGGCCATGAAGCATTGCGAAGAGTGTGTCGATGTGGGCGGGGCCGCCATGCAGGGGCTGCCGCTGGGCCTTTCTGCGGAAACCTCTATGGGTCCGCGAAGCGCTGCCCTGTGTGGAGGAAGCGCATGCGGACACCCCCACCTGGGCCTTCGGTGGAGCTCCCGATGGGGTCACGAAGCGCTGTACTGGGTGGGGGAGACGCATGCGAACACCGCCACGGGGGCCTTCCGTGGAGTCCCTTTGGGGCCAGGGAATGCTGTATTGGGTGGGGGGAACTGCGTGCGATCACCGCCACTGGGGCCTTCGGTGTAGCTCCATATGGAGCCACGAAGCGTTGTACTGGGTGGGGGAAACGCAAGCGGACACCGCCACTGGAGCATTCGGTGGATCTCCCTATGGGGCCACGCGGCGCTGTACCTGGTGGGGGAACCGCATGCGGACACTGCCACTGGGGCCTTCGGTGCAGCTCCTAGGTTGCCACGAAACGCTTCACTGAGTGGGGGAAGCGCATGCGGACACCGTCACTGGAGCATTCACTGGAGCTCCCCATGGGGCCACGAAACGCTGTATGGTTGGGGGAACTGCATGCGTGCGTCGCCACTGGGGACTTAGGTGGACCTCCCTATGGGGTCACGAAGCGCTGTACTGGGTGGAGGGAACGCATGCGGTCACTGCCACTGGGGCCTTCGGTAGAGCTCGCTATGGGGCCACGAAGCGCTGTACTGGGTGGGGGAGACGCACGCGGACACCGCCACTGGGGCCTCCGGCGGAGCTCTCCATGGGACCGCGAAACGTTGTACTGGGTGAGGGAAACGCATTCGGACACCGCCATTGGGGCCTTCGGTGGAGCTCCCTGTGGGGCCACGAAGCGCTGTACCGGGTGGGGGAACCGCATGCGAACGCCGCCGCTGGAGCATTCGGCGGAGCTCCCGATGGGCCACGAAGCGCTGTACTGGGTGGGTGAACCACATGCGGACACTGCCACTGGGGCCTTCGGTGGATCTTCCCATGGGACCGCGAATCGTTGAACTGGGTGGGGGCAACGCATTCGGACACCTCCACTGGGGCCTTCGGTGGAGCTCCCTGTGGGGCAACGAAACGTGTGAGGGGTGTGCCGGAATTGGATGCGGAGGGCAGAGGCAAGGATGGGAGTAGATGGAGGAGGGAGGAGGGGGCTGAGGAAGGAGAGGAGGAGATGGGAGGAGAGGAGAGGGGAGGGGAGGAGAGGAGACGCGGGGCGCTGTCTCTTCAAACCGATGACCCAACACCATAGGATGGTTGATAAAAACATTGAAAAAGCTTGGATACGCGGCTCGAACACATCATTCACATTCCATTCAAAGACATGGGTGTGATCACCATTTGCGTCAACATCGGAAGTGTCAGAAAGCACGTCCATGTCACAGTTGGCAAAGGCACAATTGACAAGCCTGACAGGTCAAACCTAGCAGCAGCAGGCCAAGTTGCAAACGCGGCGCGTGACAACGTTGACACAGAGGCATGCGGCTTAAACAAACAAGCGCCAGAATTTGTACCGCGGGACGTGAGCCATCAGGCACAACGTTTGCAAGCTTCACCTTGCATACCGACTTTTCTGCCTGTAATTGAAGCGCCGGCTCCGCCGGTTCAAAATCCGCCAGGTTTTTGCCATTTTGCCACGCCGTGCCCTCCATCTTGGTTCGCCGCTTCAGAGGGTGGGCAAGTTGACACACATCGTGCAGTTGGCAAGCAGAGAAACGTTGACACAGATGATACCGATGACGAGGAGGGGCACAGTTGGAGAAGGAGGCACAGCTGCACCTGCTGACAAATAAGCCATAGTTAGTTGAAATAGTGATCACAATTGGCCAGGTTGACAAAGTTGACAAATCTGCCGAACACGACAACATTGCAATGGAAGCAGAAGATGACACATTGTGATCGTGCCTGCCTTGGCTGTAGCGGAGCTGGCGCCCATCAGTGAGGGTGGTCACCTTTGACGCGGCCAGAGGGTACGAGTGGTGCGCTTGCAGAGCATAGCGTCTTCAAACGGAGTTGAAGGCGCTTTGGGTACATTGGATGCCCAGGCTAAGCGCTGGGCAGCCGTTACATGCGGCACGTCGGTGAAAGTCAAGCCCACAGATGTTGAATTGATTGGTCGCCCCATGCCAGAATCACTTCCGACATTCATGCGGTCGACAGAACGTCCCAAGTACCACAGCGACAGCGTCAATACTTGCGAGGCTTGGCAGCTATGGAAGTACGCCAGCAACGAGGGCGGCAGTGAGGGCCTCTTTGATGCAATACCCGAAGGAAGATCAACAGCTAGACAACACATAGAATGCTTTCGAGCGTAGCTGATTGCAGAGGCCGCTTGGGCAGCGCGACGTGCGGGCAGGCCGCCGCCGAGGAGGAACAACGTCATCATCAGGTTCCCCGAACAGTGCCAGCACTTGCCGTAGACGCGCACTGTTTTGGGTCCACGTTGGTTAACAGGTCTACCGGATCATAACCTGCCTATCACGGTGCTTTTATGAGCGCATCCACGAAAGGCATGCGAGGCACACTTTTCCATTGGCTCGCGTTCAGGATTGATGGGGCGGGGGAGTTCGGTGGGGAATGGGAGGAGGTGGGGGAGGTTCAGGATGATGATGATGATGATGATGATGATGATGACGATGATGATGATGATGATGATGATGATGATGATGATGATGATGATGATGATGATGGTGGTGGTGGTGGTGGTGGTGGTGATGATGATGATGATGATGATGATGATGATGATGGTGATGGTGGTGATGATGATGATGCTGGTGATGGTGATGATGATGATGATGATGATGATGATGATGATGATGATGATGATGATGGTGGTGATGATGATGATGATGATGATGATGATGATGATGATGATGGTGACGCGCACGTTGGTTCGGAATTGGATGTATGATCCTATCTCCAGACGGCGCATCCATGCAGGAAAAGGGTGGTACTGACCACGCAACCCTGAGCATCGTGACATTGGCCCTTCCTCGCTCGCGCCTGTATGTACGCAGGAGTCACCCTCCAGGCACAGGCACGTTAAGCAGGAGGTGCACTGGCCTGCTGCTATAATGCAGCCCATCCGTTTCTTGATCATCCCCTTTCGTTTCCCTCGTCCTCCGCCTTCCTATGGGATGGGTGCGGGTGAGACGTGGAGGTGGGGTCGGTGGAGGAGGGCATTTGATGATGTCTGCCACGGTGGTAGCGGAGGCCGCCGTTTTGTTAGTCCGCCAGTAGTAGAACTCCCTGGGCCACTTTTGTTGCGCGTGCTGCCGTGCCCGCACTGTGCGCGTTCTCGCGGCGAGGGTTTCAGTTTTTGGGGTTGTGTTGAGCAGAGCATCGCTTCACAGGCTCTGGAGCTCACCCTCGGCGAGGGTCCTGTATACTGGGGCGGGTGGAGGATGGTGGAGTATGACTGCTATGGATGAGAGAAGACGTCAATGTGGCATTTTGTATGATCGCAGCTCGTGGCGCGTAGGCGCCGGCAGTCCTACGACGCATGAGGGTTTGGGATTGTAGGCTGGGCGGGGTGTGGTGGGGAGCAGCGGCAATGATGAGGTACAGCATGCCCCTTGCATGTTCTTCGGATGCCTCGGTGAAGAAACCGAAGGTCAGCCTAGATTGCCAGGATAGCTTCCCCAACCCAACCCGAAGGCTCAGATTTACCCTCCATTTCCAAAGGGGGGGGGGTCGGGAAACATCGACAAAAACACATGTGGAACCCTTACCCCCCCCCAACCCGAAATTCGGGTCTTCGGGTTGGGTTTGGGGTGGTCTGGTCTGGTAGGTAGTCAGCATGGAGAACAACAAGATCCAGCGTGGCCTCTCCGAGCCGTCAGGCGTCTTGGCCGGCGGCGACGGGGCGGAAGTTGCATCTCCCGGGCCGTTGGATTCACCGTCGGCCTGGGCCCTGCTTTTTATTTACAGGATCGGGGAGGAGGAGGAGGAGGAGGAGGAGGAGGAGGAGGAGGAGGAGGAGGAGGAGGAGGAGGAGGAGGAGGAGGAGGAGGAGGAGGAGGAGCAGGAGCAGGAGCAGGAGCAGGAGCAGGAGCAGGAGCAGGATGCTCTGTGTGCAGGATCGGGCCTGCGCCGGCCGATCCCCGCGGCACCGGCCGGCTGAGCCTGCCACGGCAGCCAGCTGCGGGTCGGGCTCGACCTGCGGTCAGGAGCGGCGTGCGTTTAGCGCATGGCGCCGCCGGCTCTGGCCCGCCACGCTTCGGCGCGACGCGCTATAGCCACGTCCCGACTCCGAGGAGGAGGAGGAGGAGGAGGAGGAGGAGGAGGAGGAGGAGGAGGAGGAGGAGGAGGAGGAGGAGGAGGCCAAGGGTCAGCGCCCCGAGGCCTTCCCGGCCCCCCGCCCCCCCGCGGAGCGGGGCGAAAACGCTCTCCGCGGGCGGGGCGCGGCGGGGCGCAGGGGCCGCCGCCGCGGCACGCCGAGCAGAGCTCCCTGCAGCCCTGGCCCACTTCTTTGGCACAGTGGCCACAACGCCGTCGGGCCCAACGCGGGACCTCCCAGCCGCTGCTGCCACGGACACCTCCCAGGCGCTGCCTCCCCGGAGCCCCGACGCCACGACGTCTTCATGACGTCTGACCCCCGGAGGCCTCGACCATGTCCCCCTGGACCGCCTCCTCCTCCCGACTACAGTGTGTGCACGGCCCCGCGCGCGGGCCACAGCGCCCCCGGAGGCCGAACAGCACGGCGGGACACCCTCGCGCCTCGACTTACAAGTCCGCGGGGCGCGCACGACGGGGTCGTCCCGAGAGGGCGGGCCTCCTCGCCGCGGCGGCCCGCCGCCGGCACGAAACGGAGAGCGGTGCGGCCCGCGCCCCGGCGGCGCGCAGGAGCCCGAGCAGCCGGCCGAGCGGCCCCGCGGCGAGGCCGCGGCCGAGCGGGGCGGGGCCGAGCCGCCCGGGGCGGAGGCCGAGCCCGCGGGCGCCCCGGGCGCCGCCGGCCCGGGCCGGGGCCCCAGCCGGCGCGGGCGGGGGCAGGGAGGGACAGGGCGAGGCGGGAGCTGTCCGCGGGAGACGCCGGGGGGGGGGGCCCCTCCGCGGCCCCCTCTCCTCCCTCCTCCCCTTCTCGCTCCCCCCCCCTCCTCCCCCTCCTCCCCTTCCCCTGCCTCTCCTCTTCCTCCACCCCCTCCTCGTCCTCCTCCCCCGCTCCCCCCTCTCCCCCTCCGCCCTCCCCCTCATCCTTCTTCTCCTATTCGTCCGCCTCTTCCTCCTCCACCTCCTCCTCCTCCTCCGAAGTGAAAGCAGCAGGGTGACTTTGCCCTAGCTGCTGTTTTGAATTAGCGCGAAGCGCTGTTGAAGCCTTGTGAAACCCTTGGGCCGCAAGATGCCCGGTCGCGAGGCGGGAGAAACGCCAGGTGACGTCAGACCAGTGCCAGGGGGCCATGGGACGGGGCCAGAGCTAACAAGATCTGCTGTCAGCAACCGGGGAGCAACCGACACCTCAACCACCAACACCACCAGGAAGAGAGGGAGGGAGGTCGTCACGCCGCCGCCCACCGTGGGGGGCAGAGAGGGGAGAGGCGGGGGCTCCAGAAAGCTCTCGGCGAAGGGACCGCCCTCCTCCTCTTCCTTCTCCCTCCTCCCTCTCGCTCTAAGGAGCGCATGGGCAAAGCTCCGCATACTGCGCACTCGAGGGGCTTGTGCTGTTTTTTGCTTTGCAATGAGACGCTTAACTGACACGCGCTCCTGATGAGACCGCCTCCTCCCTCCTCCCTCCCCCCCCCTGCCTCCCCGGGGCCCGGCCGAGACACCCAGCGCCCTCGGAGAAGTCGAGGCAGCCGGCCCGTCGTCACGTTCAGTGCCATTGGGGGCCAACTATTCGAGAAGCTGGCGCTGGGGGAGAGGTCGAGAGGCCTGGGAGAATCAGAGCGCCCTGTGGTGTTCTTGGGAGGGAAGGGGAGATGGGAGGCGTTTCGCCGTTTTCGGGCTCCTGGGGTGGCTCCCCCAGCCCCGCAGCCGCCGTGACTAGGACGGCTCGGGATGGCGTGCTGCTCAAGAAGAGAGCCCCACGGGATCCAAGACTCGCTTCCATACGGGCCCAGCTGTCTGATGCCAGGGGGGCCCACGGATTCATTGTCGTTTAAGACTGTCCAGAGAGGAACAGTCCATCGATGAAATCAGATGAAGCAGAGCATAGCGGCACAACTTTGCTGGTTCTTACTGTGTCGACCGTGCCCAAGGTGTCCACTGCTTTTTGGGGCCGTTGCGGACCCCTTGGGTCCTCGTGGCCTCGTGCCTGGAAGGCAGGGGCCGCCAGCGGCCAGGGTCACCTCTGGCAATGCCTGGCCAGCAGGCTCGCTTCCCAGAGTTCCATGGCGACTCGCGAGAATAGCGCAAGAGACTTTTCGGCATTGTCGGCCCCTGGCGGAGTCGTTTCCAGGCCCAGTGCCGCACAAAGCGACTCATGAAAAGCGGATCCCTGAGGGAGAGGTTGAGGGCCCCAGGGGCCAGCGACTTGAAACACCGGGGCTTGGCTTTGCTAGAGGTTCGCTTCGCCACAGCCGGCCCACATGGCTATCTGGAGAGTCGAGTGGGCCGTCCCTTCGCCCCCAAGCGCACAAGCACCCATCATACGCGCTTGTACGTACCAGGCCACACTGGCATACAACCAATGCATATAGGGCGTTCCCATAAGGCAGCCGCCTCCGAGGAATCCAGGACATGACTTCATCTCCCTCGGCGGAAACTGGCAGAAGCAAACTCGCTGGCGGAAGCTGGCGGATGGAAGGACACGTTGCCCCGCGAGGTCTCTCCTATGGGCGAGGGGGTCCAGAGCGGTCCAGGTGCCCATCGTTGTCCTGGCGCTTCAGACCAGAGGACTCGCGCGCACACCTGAATTCTGCGCGGGGGTTCCTGGCTGCGGCATGGACGGAGTTTTCCGGCCCATGCTCGGATGGAGAGGGCTCTCTGATGAGCCATGCTTTCAGAGCAGGCTCAGCGGCGGCACTCCAGAACTGACTCTCGCGCCAGAGCCTGCCTGGGAGCAGGCGCCGTCCAGCCAGAAGATTCGGTCTGTGTGGTCGTTGCCTCTCGCTCTGGCCGAAGCCTGAGCAGCCTGGGTCGTGCGACATGTGGCCCATGACTCGAAGAAGAAGAAGAAGAAGACCCGAATTCACATAATTATGTACACCATTGGAGCTCATCGGTGAGTTCTTGGATCGAGCCCCTCCCGCTGGCGGCGCCTCCAGCGCCGCCCCATGGCTCACCACCCACCAAACCACCCCAACCCAACCCGAAGGCTCAGATTTACCCTCGATTTCCAGTGGGGTGTGTGCCTGGAAACACCGACAAAAAAAGAGTGGAACCCTTACCCCCCCCCCAACCCGAAATTCGGGTCTTCGGGTTGGGTTGGGGTGGTCTGGTAGGTCGTAAAGTGCGCGCTCCGCGCGCCAGGGAGGGGGTCGGCCCAGCGCCGCTGCGCAAGCACTCCGCGCGGACCTCGGAGAGCAGAGCTCTGTGTGCCTCTGCTTGGTGGTCCTCTGCGACTGCCGCGCCGAGGGTGCGGCCACCCTGCCGCGCTGGTGGTGTCTTCCCCCCTCCTCCTCCTCCTCGTCCTCCTCCTCCTCCTCCTCCTCCTCCTCCTCCTCCTCCTCCTCCTCCTCCTCCTCCTCTTCGTCCTCGTCCTCCTC